ATCACACTAATAAAGGTCACTTTACTACACGTTACATCACACTAAGAAAGGTGACTTTACTACACGTTACATCACACTAAGAAAGGTGACTTTACTACACGTTAGTTCACTCTAACAAAGGTGACTTTGCTACACGCTACATCACACTAATAAAGGTGACTTAACTACACGTTTGTCTCACGTAAGATCACACTAATAAAGGTGACTTTACTACACGTTAGTTCACACTAATAAAGGTGACTTTAGTACACGTTCGTCTCACGTTAGGTTACACTAATATTGGTGACTTAACTACACGTTTGTCTCACGTAATATCACACTAATAAAGGTGACTTAACTACACGTTTGTCTCACGTAATATCACACTAATAAAGGTGACTTAACTACACGTTTGTCTCACGTAATATCACACTAATAAAGGTGACTTAACTACACGTTTGTCTCACGTAAGATCACACTAATAAAGGTGACTTTACTACATGTTTGTCTTGTAATTAATCTTTCCCTCAGGAGAATCAGTATTGTTAACTAAATGTTTCATTTGTCTCTCTCTAGAGTAACAGAAACTTTAATATCAGGCTGTGAATAATAGTCTCGGAGTGACCAACAGAACGTTTTTTTCTTCTTATTTCCAGGTTTATTCGGAATATTTATCACAGATCTTGTAGCATATAGTAGTACAGAGACAAGCCACATAACCTTATTGGACAGGAAAGGGTAAGTTTTATATGTGTAATGAAGCCAGTTTTTAACAGGTATTTATTAATAGTAGTATAGAGACAAGCCACGTAACCTTATTGGACAGGAAAGGGTAAGTTTTAACTCATTAAAGCCAGTTTTTACCAGGTACTTACTATTAGTAGTGCAGAGACAATCCAGGTAACCTTATTGGACAGTAAAGGGTTAGTTTTATATGTGTAATTTTGGTTAAATATTACTAATACACTCAACATAACACTATCACACTTGTCTGGATGATCGATACGTCATTTAAGTTGAGCTAATTCTGAGAAAGTTCTAGAATAAAACACAGCAACAGAATGCTGTAACTTTGGCCCAGCATGGCCAGGTGGTTAGGGCGCTCGACTCACAATCTGAGGGTCGCAGGTTCGAATCCCCGTCACACCAAACATGCTTGCCCTTTCAGCCGTGGGGGCGTTATAATGTGACGGTCAATCCCACTATTCGTTGGTAAAATATAGCCCAAGAGTTGACGGTGGGTGGTGATGACTAGCCCTTCCCTCTAGTCTTACATTGCTAAATTAGGGACGGCTAGCGCAGATAGCATTCGTGTAGCTTTGCGCGAAATTCAAAACAAACAAACAAACAATGTTGTAACTTATTTAAAAACGTCTCGGAGATTTTAAACTATTTGAAAAATAATGGAAATCTAACAGTAGAAATTGTTAATAAAAACAGTAGAAATTGTTAATAAAACAGTAGAAATTGTTAATCTAACAGTAGAAATTGTTAATCTAACGGTAGAAATTGTTAATAAAAACAGTAGAAATTGTTAATCTAACAGTAGAAATTGTTAATCTAATAGTAGAAATTGTTAATAAAATAGTAGAAATTGTTAATAAAAATAGTAGAAATTGTTAATAAAACAGTAGAAATTGTTAATCTAACAGTAGAAATTGTTAATAAAACAGTAGAAATTGTTAATAAAATAGTAGAAATTGTTAATCTAACAGTAGAAATTGTTAATAAAAATAGTAGAAATTGTTAATAAAACAGTAGAAATTGTTAATCTAACAGTAGAAATTGTTAATAAAACAGTAGAAATTGTTAATCTAATAGTATAAATTGTTAAT